ACCTGGTGCCTGTTTTTATTGTGCTTTCTCCATGAAATTCTACTGCTGGCTGCTGCTACCCCACCAAAGCCTTTGTGCGAGCATAAGGCAACTCGAGGCTGTGGTATAGGTGGGTTCTCTGTAATTCTAAACAATGATGAGCAACGACCCGCAGCAACGACCCCAAACCATTCCAAACCCAGATGACGAGCGATAGAGCGATGACGAGACTGCAAGAATCGAACAACAAAAACACGCTACGTACGGGTATTTTGGAAGCTGCCCAAACTTTGATTGATCCCACTTGTATGGTTTGTCACTCTACTACTGTGAGAAAAAGCAGATTGAGTGGCGTTCCCTCTTCAGAGCAAGGTACAGTGGAGGAGAGTGACGAAAGTGAAGGCTGGCCATTTTGACCAGTGGAGGCTTCTATCAACTGGCACCCAAGTTTCATTCTCTTTTCTAGCTCCCCTCTTTTGTGGGGCCCTTTGCTGAGTGTCTTTAGTTCCAAGTTTCGGCTTTCTGGCCAAGCTTTCTCAGGCACCAAGACATACGATTCGGACATGTCAGTCTTAACGACTCCTTGAGTGGATTTCTTGTTGCCTCTCTCTCTCGCCAGAAAAGACCACAGATGGCAAAGTGGACTCAGCACTGGACAGGGTCAATGCGCTTATGCTCCTGGTGCCACTCGGGCCCAACGATTCCGGACCGGGAGGATGTCGCAAAGGAGCCTGTGTGATCTAAATTAGGAGCCTATGCTTGCTTCTAATGTTTCACAGATCCTCATTTAGCTTATGGACCCCGACTGAATCGTGTCTCCCATTGCAAGCAAGATACAAAGTGCAGCAAGTTTGGTCAGCGCTGAATATGTGCTAAACATTTTGCAGTTGCCTGTAATCACTGTAGTAGCCTTTAGCAATCTATCAAGGAAGGACATTCTAATTCTGTGAGGTTACCAGAAGCAGGCCAATCCTTTTCCGTGAGGATCTGTAGCTTTTCATCCATCTACAAGCTTTAGATTGGAGCTACTAGCCACCCCAATGGGTGTCCAATGCATGGGTGTCCAATGTCCAAGTTCGAGGCTACATCTCTCGATTCGATTCGTCCGTGTGCGAACTTGTGCAGATGAGAGAGACGATGAATCATTTGACGATGTTTTAGGAAGAGGCGTACCAACAGTAAGAGCGCCAAATCCATTTTGCCCCACCTGACACACAGTGCAAAGCCCTCTTTGCATGCTTTTCTCTATGCAAAAAAAACATGGCTCCTAGTTCTTACAACTGCGCGACACTTCTTCTAAAAGAGCTCCAGACCCAGCCAGTCACTGAGGTCAGCGTCCGTCAATGAGGGCCGATGTCCAGAAGCACACTGGGCAGAACTCAATGCTGACCTCACTCATGCGAAGGAGTGGGGGTTGCTTCTTCGACCCTGGTGGTATAAATCAATGCAACCGGATAACAATATTTGTACATATTTGTACAATATACATACAATGTGTCATATGTAATATAGATATAGATACATAATATATACATACATGTTACATGTGTGTCATGATTCACATCCACATATATCTACTATTATGTAGTGGTCACGCGCATTTGCGTCCTTAGAGCATGCCTAGCCCTGCGAGCTTAGTACGATCGTAGGCCGAGTCAGGAGTCCTTGTTTGAATGGACAAGAAGATGGTCAAATCTATGCATGACAGATACATGTGTTTTCCTTTAGACACCGCAATACTGAAAGAATCTCTCTGAGGGAAGTTCCAGAGAATCCTAGTCATAGTCAAGTGCAGGAATCGGTTTAGCAGAGCTTGGACAATGAAGTCCTTTGCTTTGATTGGCATTCTTCGCAAGCATGGTAGCCCACCACAACATGTCTAGCAGAGCTGAGCATGTGATCATTGGCGGAGACGGAGTAGTTTTGGAGGGCTGTACACAGCCCCCTCAAAATGTAGTTGTGGACATCCTACTCGCCCAAAGCAATGAAGTCCAAGTATTTATGTGAAGGTCTCAGAATAGGAGGTTCTGTGTTTGTCATTTGGAAAAAAGATCCTGGATCTGCCCAGCTTCCAATATATCATATATATATATATCATATATATATATATCATATATATATACTTATATATATACATATAATATATACATTATATAAATCATTCAATCAATGCTCTAACCCAGTGGCTTTGCATTTGGACCAATCACGTGTCTCCTTTCAGAGCCTGTTGCCGGTGTGGGAGGAGAAGTTATCTCGCATTCAGAGTCTCGTGCAAAAGCGCGCAGTCGGGGCCTCGGCACTTCCAACTGAAAGGATCGGAAGAACACCGCAATCGGACTGGAACCAGAGCAATCAGCTCCCTCAATCGCATTGGTTTTGCATTGGTTTTCACATTGGTTTAGCATCACGCGGTCCCAAACTCCGAGAAGTACAGTGGTTTCAGAGGTTTATAGAGGCACGGGCCCCCAAGATGTCACTTATATAGAAGGTATAGGGGGGTTAAGAAAAAACTCCTTTGGGCATTGTGCCGTCTACTCTGAAATCACTATAATATATGATCTCCGAAACTTGAATGTCTGGAGTATTGACCATTTCCCGTCCACCCAGGGAAAGCTCCCTCTTGGAGCACCTGAACGGCATTTTTGCCGAGAGGCGGGAGGGCTTAAACGGGTGCTGGATAGTTTCTTGTTGATGAAAGGCAGACGGGGACGTTGTGGAGGCCTGTGTTTTATAGTGTTTTTGGCTCATGTTGAGCGCTTGTACTGTACTTAGACAACTGTATGTCGCACGACACATCAAAATATCACTATGTCAACTTTTATATTCCTTATATGTCAAATCCCAAAGGGAATCTCTCAAAAGAATCTAATGGAGACATTTGGTTCTTGAACCCCTCTATTCGTTTGACAATCTTGATCATGCGAGAGCATCCTCGTTGTCAGTGCCAAGTATACCCAACTAACGCCGATCACCCCCTGAAGTGGCCTCCATGAGCTAATACCAACTCGCTCTCCTCGCTCATGCTTCATGACTTCAGCTTTCATCAAGGGTCTTCCGAAGCCATCTCCATACTTTTTCATCGAAGTGTTCCTTATTGATTTCTTTCGAATAAGATCCGCACGTTCTCAGCGACACGAAACGCCTGACTGACTGACACCCATCACATGGTACTGCCTGCCTGGCCCGCTGGCCCAGCATCATGCTGCACACCCCATAGCTGGACCAAATTGATGTTGGGAGGTTCTCAATTCTGAATGCCATTGCTCATGAATCCAACATGGACTTCCTCATGGATTTGCATACTTAAGACACCTGGATCCCCTGCTGATCCCACCCAGGCTCATACTGGGCAGCTCATGCTGGGGGGTCCCCCTCATGGGGGCAACAAACAGATCGTTAGTTCACACGTTTTTTTTATTTTGCTAAAATATGCTGTATTGTATGTGTTTATTCTATATAATATGTTTTTCTTTGTGGATTGCTCGTAAGATTTTGCCTCCAGAGATTTCATCAAACTATGTAACTACCGGGCTTTTTTGATCACATCATCCCGCGTGTGCAAAAGAAAATGCAAGCACATATGCAACCCAAGTGCGGTCTTGCGGCAAAGAGTTGTTTGCGCACCATGTTCTAAGATGCTCTAAGAAAGACCGTCCGTCCGAACCAAAAGTACGGTATAATATAATATATATCTATATATTTTTAAACATTGTGTTTAGATGCTTTTACTCTACTATTTCAACTTCGCTTCTCAATCTGTATTCACTTCAGTAATTCGCCTGTGGAAGGGGGGGTGGGGACCTGGTAGGTTCTCCGGGGCCTGAGGGGGAGAGCCAAACATTGACAAATTAAGGTTGGTTTTTCTTTGTTCTCCCCTTCTGACTTCCTTAGTAGGGCGAACCCCTATCAAGATAACAATGTTCCAAACAAAGAGCGCGAAGCCCAATGGCCTTCCTACTTTTCTTTTCAGGGCAGTCGGCCAGTGCATCAGGATCAAGTCTTGGCCAAACTCATACACTCTACTCTGTAGGTTCAGGTCGGCCAATCTGGGAACCTCAGGGCTGTTGAAAGAACACCTTCGTCGTGGTGACCCACCTCGTCGGACCTGGTGACCAGGTCCGTCGTATTTGTGTCTCGCGGCGTATTTGTGAGCCGGGGGCTCAGCCGAGAGTTCGAGGAAATCAGAGTTGACATCATAGGAGGTCACCAATAGTCACCAACAATGGAGGCCATGAATCATATGGAAGTTCTCACCAACAGTGGAAACCAGCATTGAGGGGTGGCGCGCTTGCGCCATCCTCCGGGTGCTTGCCTTCGCCATGCCAAACAAACACGACATCACGACATGGCCTTCGTGGGCCTTGGTATTCATTTTGCTTTGGGAGCAAGTACCAACAATTCCCACTGGCGTTTGGGTTCATGTCCGTGCCTAGGCCAAGGCGCTGAGTGTTGAATGCGTAGGACTACGCGGGCAAACAGAAAAATGCCCTAGGGAAGCGTTGCCATCGAAGGCTGCAAAAAAGACACCTCAAAAACATCCAGGATTTATGTGGCGTTGCAGATGACTGACGAGTGATAGCAGCTACGTGCGGGACCTTCCCTCCATCCTTCCTCGAGCACATGAAAACACTGCCTATTCCACCTGCGGTGTTTTCGTGCAGAACTGCTTGGTGTCGCCAATGACTTTAAAGGCTAACGACGGAGAAAAAAGGGCTAACGCGCGCCGCAGCGCGGCCCATGCAGCTCTGTGACGTTGAATAGCAGGTGGGGTCGATCGGGCTGGGCTGTCCAGGATCTGTCACCCATGTTGTTTGCCATCCAGTTGGTCACTGTTGGAAGAATCAGAACTAGTCCACAGAGTGTGTAGCCCGCTACTGCCCAAGTGTGGCCTATATAGATCAGATGATGTTGGTGAGTTGAACTGAAAGCACTTCACAACAGCCGAAGCATGGATCCCAAATCATAGAAACTCAAGACGACGCTACAGCCACAGCTGTTTAATTCGCAGGATAGAGTACAGACCCGCATACATGATAAAAGCATCACTTTCATTCAGCTTCTATGAGCATTGCATGAGTGATCGCTTGCAACGGCGACCATGAGCTTTACTCCACCTGAGGCAGGGCAGAGAAATGCTTGCCATATGTTTCGTCACATGCCACGGCCGCGAGCAGCACCCCATGAGCGAATTGACCAGCGCAACAAGACAAACATGCTGAATCTTCAAGGGTTGGTTTTTACTTGTAGAAACTGTACATCTCCATGTGTCTTTACCAATTTCAGAAAATCACATGTTGCAAGGGCAATACAGCTGCCAGTGCTGCCAGCACTGCCAGCACTGGAGGCACAGAGCAGCTGCAGTTTAACGGGAAACTCTTGGGACTCCATTTTCAGAGGAAGTTGCAGGCACTATGTCAGTGAGAGTACAGGAGCAGATGCCTATGCCACTTTGGGCAAGACCTCAGGTGGTATCGTATCAGGTGCTTTGCGTTCCAGGTCCAGACTGTTTGGGCGACGCCAGGCGTTTCGACTCCGACCGGCAGTGTGGCGAGTCGCAAAGAGACGGCTCCGAGGCGAAAACGACCCGCGGGCGCGAAGGAGCCGATAGGTTTCCCACGCCCTTCGGGCAGAGTGCCGTTTTGCCGGCCAAGTGGCGATTTCGGAGAAGACCATGCTGCACATCGTTCGATCATGCATTCTTTATCAAAACATTCTTTTGTCATCAGGCATCAGGGAGGATCGAGAGAACACATGCATAAGCAAGTGAAGTCCGAGGCAACAATCAAGTCATCCTTTCCGAATGCAGCCCCCCCCATCTGTCAGCTGCACAGCGACGTTCCGCAGGTATGGTATATCCAACCCAGTTTCCTTGCAGGACAGAGTTATGTTGGGTGCGAACAAGGTGTTCTTCAGGATTGAAAACAGAAAGCCACACCCAACGGAGGAAGGGCAAGAAGAAGTGCCAGCAAAGTATAATTCGTCCTGAGGCTGGCCAGGATTGGTGGATGGCATGTAAAAACCACTCCAACCACTCACTTCATTTGACTACCTCCTATAGTTCAACAACAGAGGCAAGGCCCTAGGCTCTATATAGGCTCTAGGCAAGTGTTGCAAACGATGTTTTTCAGCATTTGCCTCCAAGACTCGTCCAAGACGGCTTTATCTAAGCAGTCGGAGGTCCTGACCTCACCACCTGGATCGACCGGGCAGGAGCCCACGGAGGCGGACCTCGTCACCAGCGAGCAGTTGAAGAAGGCGGGCTGAGCTGAGCTGCGGGGGTTGATGGAAGATAGAAACCGCTGGTGGACATGGATGGATATTAATATATACTGTAGATGGATCGATCGATCGATCGATACTGTCGATATGCATATATATATATACACTCACATGCACTGTATATACATATCATGTATAGATATCCTCGAAGGAACCCAGGAGCATGGAGGACCATTTGTGATGGGAAGAGAGAGCTTCCGAACCCATTCTGGAGGCGCTTGGTTTGTTTGGCAGACGGTGGGTGATGGGAGCACGGTGGCGAAGGCAACGGAGACCCATGTCCTGCTACAAAGAGGTTCCGAAGCATCCACTTTCAACTGCTGGCCCTCCTTTTCTCTCTGGGCCATGCATATTTATGTCAATGCCCTTTTTCACGTTTGTCATACCGTCTATCTACATCGAATGAATGGCCGTTCCAGGACTTAGAGCAGGACTTCCCCCGGGAGACTGCTGAAGGCTTGGCCAAGCGAGAGCAAGTCTTGGAGGAGCAGCCTCACCACGATTCCCACTGGTTTTCAACAATGAGCAATCCATGACTTGAATCTAAAAGGAAGATAAGGAAGAGGAATACTATGAACAAAATTATGGAATACACCTGGCGAAATCCATCATTACTATTCTGGAATACTATTAACCTAAAAAGTTTTCTGAAAACACCTGGCAAAATCTGGCGTAAAGAACTCAAAAAACACATGCAATGTTTGCAATGTCGATGCGTGCGACAGCCAGCCATGTGTCTATGTGTCCACAACTGGTTGGGAAGGAGCAAACGATGGCTTCCCAACGAGTCTTTTTGCTCGGGTTCGCCACATGTCGGCTTGATTCATTTGGATTCGCAGATGAGGCTTAAGACGGTATTTTCGGATGATTTGACAATCATTTCTTACTAGTAGCGATGCCCTTAGCTACTATATAGTAGCTTCTTGTTAGTGGTAAGGCATCATGCTACGTTCATAGCGATGCCCTTGCTACGTTCGTAGCTTGGCTTTTGGGGCTCTTGAGGAGCTTGAGCGCATTGTCTCCGAATGGATTCTAGAAGAAGGTCGGGCTCAAGGAGTTCAGGATGCCTCTTCGTTTGCCAAGATCGTGACGGTGGGATCTTACAGGCAAGCGAGGGAGTTTGGGCAGCCGAGAAAAGGGTTTAATTACCGGTTTACCCCTGAATCAGATAGAATAAGTGTTATTCAATCAGGAAGAGACACGGAGATTTCATCGGACTGGGGCTTTCCTGGCTCGCCAGCACTGCAATTCAAGCGCCTCCCGAAACCGGAGCTGCACCGCTGCTTGCAGCTCGTGCTCACGTGAGCACCGCCAGGCTGGGGGTGGTTCAGCCTGGCAGTGACATGGACACACTGTGCATCGCGCCGCCTCACGTGAGCAGAGAGGTGAAGCCGAACGCGGAGAAGAACCGCTAGCCACGCGTGGGCCTTTCGTGTCTGATCTTCTGATTGAAAAGGAGAGGTTCCACAAAGAGGAGATGGGTTCCGTAGGCCCTGAGGAGAAGCATTGGGTTTAAGAGAATGCGTTCTTGATGGTTCTTGCGTTCCCATTGGTGGCAAGCTACCTCGACTTCAAGCCGTTGTTTGCTTCATGGGGTCAATGGATTGAAGTACGGCGGAAGACGCACATGCCATTTGCCAGCATAGAATAAGCCCGATTTGTGCGTAGCAAACTGAGAATTGGTATGAAAGGTCAACTTGATTCTTCATGACGTGTACATCATTCTATATCATGTTGATTGCATATGTGTCACCAGGCCTTTTTCACAGCTTTCCTCAAGAAGCTGGAGCATCATTCGCACGTGACAGATTGTGTTCCGATTCCAGGAGCGTTTGAGCCTCAGAAGTGGCCAGAAGTTGCGAAATGTCAAGAAAGTTCTTCTCATTTTCTCGGATGATTTATGAATCTTGGAAGATCTGTGCGAAATTCTGGTGTTTTCCATTGGAACACGCTGAGGTACACACCCATCATCAAGCTAAAGCTTAGAGGAGCCTCGGCCTTAGCTTGATTTGGAGCCCTTGCTATCAGTGATTGCATCTTGGTTTTGAATGAAATTCATTGCGGTCCGCGTCCTCTACAAACCTTTGACTCGAAGACATGGCTTGAACTGTTCCTCAGGATTCACAGCTATGCGAGCTGCTTTTCCCACCTCTCAATACACTAGTAACAAGAGACTTCCCATGATGGCTTGGTATTCTCTTTGTGCTGTAGAGACGTACAGGGAAAGGGACCTGAACACAGGTGAACAGCCTCATTCCCCGGCACTGACACGGCAAGGTCAGCATTGACTTGCTTTTCGCTCGCTTGGTTAGGCCAGTTGCCGGCTCCCCTCCCCCAATCGCATAGGATGTGAAGAGACACTTCTCTTTTGATAGAAGAGAATGGGAAACTCAAAGGATGCAATGGGCATGATGTGTTTTGAGTAAACAAGCTCAGAACATGCTCGGAACTGTGTTTTTACTTTACACTCAAGAGCATGCTGGAACGCCAAAGCTTCGAGCTGCGATGATTGGATCCTTTCCTTTCTGCCTTTTGCCTTTACATCAGGACGCACAATATATACTGTATATATAACTTCTATATATACATGTCCTTGTGTATATATATATACCTATACGTATGTGTATATGTGTATATTATGTGTATAATGACATATATGTATATATATACACATGTATGTGTGTATATATATATATAGAGAGATGTGTTCGGATGGCCTTTGGAAAAATGATGAGATTAATGTCAGGCCTTTGGAAGAAGGCAAAGATGTGGAGGATCTCGTGAAGGAGTGAAAACCCGAACCGTGAAGAGCAGGTATGCTCTACAAGATAACTTGCTTCGCAAGCAGGACAAGGAGAGCTAGGTAGGCGTAGATTGTTGTTTCACTCTCTCCAGCAAGCCCACAAGCCCAGCCAGGGACTAGCACAATGTTTGCCTCTAAGTCAGTGAAGACAACACACCCAGGATGATGAGATCCTCCGTGAAATGGATGACAAGAGTGTTCTGGCACTCAGCCCTTTTGACAGAAAGGAGCATTTCCTAGGTCCTAGATGCATTGGCTGCAGTAGCAATGAGAAACCCAGAGGCTGGCTAAACCACACGCTTTTTTGGAGCAGGCACTCAGCTACCCAACCATCTGACACCGTTGCGGCCCCATGATTCGCTTTTCCGTCCCAAGAGTCCTCTCCGCTGAGGTACGATGTATCAACGGCTATCGGGTCGCAGAAGCTCAGCTGGAATGGCGTGTCAAAAGCCACCAGGTCTGTCTGCGCTGAAGGCATTGATCGATGAACAGGAACAAGAAGCTGCTAGTAACACAGGGCATCGCTACTAGGAGCAAGGACGCTACTAGTAACAAGGCGCTACTGGTAACAAAGGGCATCGCTACTAGGAGCAAGGATGCTACTAGTAGCTCCTGGCCTTACTACTAGGAACAAGGCGCTGCTAGTAACAAAGGCATCGCAGTCAAATCTCACCTTGGAAGCGAAGCAGCGCAACCTCAGTGCCAAGTGCCTCACACGACATGGCAAAGAATGATTTCCCTAATTAATTTGTATGTAACCTATGTATATATATATATACACAGATTAGCTTCATTAACTGCCTTCTCACATCACCATCCTGCCAAGACCGAGTTCCCACCTCACTTGGAGTCCTCCTTTGTTGGTGGACGCGAGTCAACTGTAGAATTTCACTTGTAAGACTCTCCAAACTTCGAACTCCCAGTACTGAGCTCGGCACCACTGAGGATAAGATTCTGAATCTTGTTCCGAACCAGGAGGCATTTAGAGAAACACTTCGCTTCGCCCACTTCTTAGATAACAACTGCTTGCGGTGTGTGTGTGTGTGTGTGGTGACGGCTAAGTGTTCACAGATGATTGTTGAGGAGGGCTCTGCCGGCAAGGCGAGAATTCCACCTCCTGCAAAAGAGTGCCTCCCACACACCTGCATTCCGATTTGGGCAGAATTTTGGCTGATCACCTTGCAGTTGTTGACAAACATCCCTACCCGAAATCATGGCACGTGTCTCCAAAGTTGCTGTTGGCTCCGTCCTTGGAGCTGCCTCTCTGGGAGGCCTGGCCTTTGTGGCTCCAGGAAGCCACCCAGTTGAAGTGGAGCCAAGGGTGACTGCTGCAAACCAAAAGTTCCTGTCCTCATCCACTCCTTCCGGCAGCTCCTCAGCAGTGCAGGGACTTAGCGGTGCCTTGGCAGTCGGAGGCCTGAGCGTCGCTGCGATTCGTGGTGCCGCAGCTGCTTCTCGACGCAAGGGTATCAAGCCAAGGGCATCTCAGAACGTGGTTGCTTGCAGGGGCTTGGCCAAGATGAAGATTGATGAGGTTGACCTCAAGGACCAGCGAGTCTTCATCCGTGTGGACTTCAACGTGCCCCAGGACAAGAAGGATCCCAACATCATCACCAACACAGCGCGAATTGATGCTGCACTCCCGACCATCAAGTATGCACTGGACAACGGAGCCAAGTCCGTGGTCTTGTGCTCTCACCTGGGCCGTCCTGATGGCCAGAAGAACGAGAAGTTCTCCATGAAGCCTGTCGCAAAGGTGGTCGAAGAGAAGCTGGGAAAGCCTGTGAAGCTGATGGATGATGTGATTGGCAAAGACGTCGAGGCTGCATGCGCCGACCCTGAGCCAGGCACCATCATTCTCCTGGAGAACTCTCGTTTCTACGTTGAGGAGGAGGGCAAGGGCAAGGATGCTGATGGCAACAAGGTGAAAGCTGATCCTGAGAAGGTGAAAGAATTCCGTGCTTCTCTTGCCAAGCTGGCAGACATCTACTGCAGCGATGCCTTCGGAACTGCTCACCGAGCCCACAGCTCCATGGTTGGCGAAGGCTTCCCAGTGAAGTGCTCAGGTTTCCTTTTGGCAAAGGAGCTGGACTACTTTGCCAAGGTCATTGACTCCCCAACCAGGCCCGTGTGTGGCATCCTTGGCGGAGCCAAGGTGGCTGACAAGATTCAGCTCATCATGAACTTGCTCGACAAGGTGGACATCATGATCATTGGTGGTGGTATGGCTTTCACATTCATCAAGGAGGCCGGTGTTGAGATTGGGGCCTCCCTCTACGATGAGGAGGGAGCCAAGTTGGTGCCTGAAATCAAGAAGAAGGCCGAGGAGAAGGGTGTGGAACTGATCCTGCCAGTGGACTTCGTGTGCTCTTCCAAGTTCGGCGAAGATGGAGAAATCCAAGATGGTGACATGGAGACAGGTGTGCCTGAGGGCTTTTTGGGGCTTGACATTGGCCCCAAGTCCATTGCCATGAACGATGAGGCCATCAAGAAGTCCAAGACCATTGTGTGGAACGGCCCCATGGGTGTCTTTGAGATGAAGTCCTTCGAGAAGGGCACCAAGCAGATGATGGAGACCATTGTTGCTGTCACTAAGGAAGGAGCTGTGTCTGTGATCGGTGGCGGTGACACTGCCACTGCCTGCAAGGTCTATGACACCGTTGACAAGGTCTCCCATTGCAGCACTGGTGGTGGCGCTTCTTTGGAGCTCTTGGAAGGCAAGCTCCTTCCTGGAGTGGCCGCGTTGGATGACTCAAAGTCTCTTGCAACTGCATAGATCTTTTAATTTCATTCACTGATGTTTCGTATTTCATGTGCCGCAGAACGCAGGCACATCTTTCCAGAACCCAAATTTTCCTCAATTGTTCAGGCAAAATAGCTCATCTGAATCGTGCGGTTCCGGCCTGTGTGGACTTGAATCTGCTTGGCACAGATGGAGCTTCACTGTCGCCTTCTGAGGTGAAGTGTTGGGCCAGAAGGCGGCGTATTGAACGGTTTGCCAGTGTGTCAGACAGAGATTTAGTAAATGTAGTTGATGTTGGGACTCAGTTCTCTATGCCAGTGTGCGTTCGAATCCCGGCAACCTTCGCAATGGGTTGCTTCAGTGTCGAACGCACAGGCGAGGCATTTACTCGAATGTCCTTGCCCGAGGGGCTGGTCCGATCGGTGGATGGAGGGGTCGTCTAAGTTGGAGAGCAGGACCGTAGTTCCTTGGTGGTTGCGATACGCACACGACAATGCTAATAGAAGTGATTTCGTGGTCAGACCAACTGTCTGCTGCCGACCAACTCTTGGTGAGTCCTGAACGATGGGGATCCACTGGTATGACTAGCCTCAGTTGGCCCACGACACACGATGGACCAATCAAGACAGCATCAAGACAGCATCCGATTCATGGAGCCTGACCTCGATCTTCTTGTCGCCGTTGGTCGCAACTGTGATTTCTGGTGGTCCCGTTGACCGTTTAGACCTCTGCTAAGGTCTTGGGTTTCTTTGGTGGCATTACATGGGCTTTGTTGGTGGCTCGTGTTTGTCAGGAAGCCCAGCGAACCCCAGAGCCATCCAGTTGGAGATGAAGGAAGTTGGATCACACGTGGATGTTCCAACGAGACGAACTGCAATTCGCTGCACGGAGACGAACTAAGGCCAGTTATATCCGAACTATTGCTTCAGCCAGCTCGTTAACAGGTACAAGACTGGTCGAGTGATTTTGCTTACATATGTTTCATATATACTGTAGAGTGTTCACATGCAGCATCTACAGCACTTGGGAAGTCCCCTCCGTCGATTTGTCATTTCCAGCAAAAGCCTGACGGAGCCTGCTGTTCGCCAGATTTTTTCGCATCTACGATCAGTGGAATTGGTCAAAGCCTGTGATGTGAGGTCCTCAGAGCGCCCTCTTTTACTAACCTGGCCCTTGCCTAAATTGAAGAACATAGCTTGTCTTTCTAGTATTTTCTAGCCATAAATGATGGGTTGCTAATTGCGATAGATGTTAGAGACATCAGAATCATACTCCTAAAGGTTCATGCGACGTATTTTTTTCCCCACCTGCCAGGTGAGGGTTGTTAGACTTTATCAGAGCTGTCAACTCCTCTCTCCCCTCCTGCTCCTCCACCTCAACTGCGAGCGTTAGATTGCAGTGGGCACCACCGGACCTCAACCGCGAGCATTAGATTGCAGTGCACAGGACCTCAACCGCGCGCTAGATCGCAGTAGGCACCACCGGACCTGGACCAGATAGATTCCAGAATGAACGCCGATTGCCAGAAAGAATGTCATAATATATGCAATGGCAAGAAGGAATGTCCGCCTGAGTGCCAGAATAAATGTCAGGAAATATGCAAGACCAAGTGCTCGAAAATATGCCAGATAGAGTGCAAGATAGACTTCGACGAAATTCAGAATGTATGCCCAATGAAATGCCAGAATATGTGAAAGATAGAATGCCACAATTCACGGCATGTCAGAATAATTGCCAGGATAAATGCAAGACAGAGCGCAAGAAAAAGATTGCCAGATAGAGAGTGTACCAGAATATATTCCACTTGAAGTATACATATATTTTACACTTGATATTCCTTCCACATCGAGTTTGCGATTGTTTGTTGATTGGGGCTAAAGTGCCTAGGGGAGTGACTGGGCTGGCGAGCAAACATGCGTGTCTTGTTCTGACTTTCAGTTGGTGTTGTTGCTGTTGTTGCTGCTGCTGTTGGTGTTGTTGTTGTTGTTGCTGCTGCTGCTGGTGCTGCTGCTGCTGCTGCTGCTGTTGTTGTTGTTGTTGTTGTTGTTTCCGTATATGCGTGTGCGTATATGTGTGTGCGTGTGGGTGTGTGCTTGGAACATGCTACAATACTCTATTGTAGTTTTGAGTGCCGAGTCTGATTGAGTGCAAATGGTGCACATTTCGGCGTGTCTAATGCAAGGAAACGTTCACTGGGGTTTGGTTCGCCTTTTTCAGGCTTTGCGACATCGTCGAGAGCGTTCCCGGAATCTCTGGATTTAAGGCCGGTCGAACGAACCGCGATCGAATCGCCGGTTCCTCTTCAGATCTTTGATTGGATGGGATGCTTGAAATATGAGGAACTTGTGATCGAAGATTAACATCCCTATGTGAGGAATTTGGGAATGGTCCAAATGACCCCAGTCCACAGTTGAGTTGAGGCGGACATAGGGCAACCCACAAAATCTAGAGGAAGACACGTCAAATCGAATATCGGGAGGTCTCAGAAAGAGAGAGAGAGAGAGAGAGTGTGTGAGAGTCTTTACCGTCTTTGTCATGTGTGTTTGGGATGTATGTTACGTCCCTCATTTTGAGAAGACAGAGCTTCTACATCTTCAGCTTTCCTGTGCATGAGATGAATGGGCCATGGGCATGGGGCCCGTGTAGATTTCTTTATCTCTCCATTGGCCTTTGCAAAACAACATCAACACATACCAGGACCTTCCCAAATCTTCACGACTCAATCCAAATAATTCCATCTTCGAGTTTCTATCAAATAGAGGGCCTGCTGCCGAGCCTATTTCCAGGTCTGGAATCCGAAGACCAGCCACGCTGACAAGCGTGAGCCTCGGTCTGTCGTAGGGAGGGTGAGATTTCAGTGGAAAAGCCTCGCAGCCCGTGAAGAGGGCCATTCGCTGTTGGGACTCAATTGAGTGGTAAGATCATGAAAGATGCACAGGTTCCTACCTACTTTCTTGTTTATTAGGGACCATGAGTTCTGGTTCAATCATGTTCCAGGCAGGAGTTCAACTGACCTGAGGATTGTAATCTTGCATTCTTCAGTTCTAGCCAGGGTTGGTGTCTCCTAAAGCTAAGGCAACATCTCATGCCCGTGATCACTCCGGCGTTCCCAGCCATGAACTCCACGTGCGCGGAGTAGCTGTCAGCTGATTGTCCACATATTGATTCGCTTTAGAGACAGAGCGCTCTCAGGATAAAGTGCAGTAGGACCTGACAAGTGAGTTAGCATTGCCATACCACGAAAAGAGGAGTGTGATAATGTGGGATATTCAAAGTATCCATTTATCAGCAAACACATGCGAAACCGCGTTGCTTTCTGGAAGCAATTCCTTCTTCCTTCTGGCGAAGGCACAACGTCACCGAAACCACAAAGAGGATTTTGCTTGATGAATTCCGCCGTGGCTATGAGGCCTGCAAGACTTTAGCCACTAAGGATCGAACAGAAACCTTCACAGAGTGTGCCAGCCATCGTAGATGTATAGTCTGTATCGTTTGTATGGCTGGGGCTTTTGCCTTTATCGTTGCAAAAGCAGCTTGTCAGATTGAGTTCAATTGTTGTCTCCCAAAGCTCCAGTACAGGTGGTGAAAAAGGTGGAGCAGAACAAAGCAGCTTGGAAGGAGCGCGCCAGGGCCGGCAGGTGGAATTGATACTTTGATTAAGGTCTTCAAAGGATTTCAAGAGGATCCCTGATGCATCTTAGATCTGGATGATTCGAAAGATGCAATTTCTAGCCCTCGGCAGCTCCAAAAAGTCGGCCTCGCCCCGCCAGGAGGTTCACGAACCCTTCCCATTCTTCAACAATGGACCCTTCAGGCCATGCTCCAGTGGATGCACCAGGTGTTCAGTCCATTTTGTGATCATTTGGAGTCGAAGGCTGCGAAGGGCAGTCGTTTGATGTTGTTCGACTGTCTCATGCAACGCCCGTTTGAGTTGGTGCATGTTTGTGCCATGCCTTGCGTTTTTTCCACGTCAGGCAATATCTTTGCCTGGAAGTGCTGGCAAAGACCGCCGAAGTCCATGTGAAGTGTGGCGGTCCAGCAATGTCCAGCAGGTTGAAGCATCAAGACCCATGTGAAGAAAGCATTGGCATGTGGCGTTTGCTATCACCACTGCCATGTTCGAAATCAAAAGCGGATGTTTCATATTCTCACAGTGGATGTTTGATCTCAAGCGCAGCATTTGTTTGATGGTCCAGTGAGCTGGGTAGACCGAGTAATTGTGCTGAAGCAAAAAGCATTCATTGTGGTCCAGTGAGTGGGCCTAAACCGAAGCACGTCTAGAAGGGTCCCTAAAGAAGAGTATACGATTTGTTGCGAACACAGAGAGTGTTTTGAGTGGAGTGTTGTGCGATCGACGGGTGTCCGTACATGTTCGCTCCATTCAAAGCACAAATAGGAGAAAGGAGCACTCCACCGACGTGGGCTTTTCACAGCTTTGGCCAATTCTGAGAGTGAGGTTCTGCGGTTGGGTTGAGAGCAAGCTCCGGATTCTCCACAAATCCTTAGAGGCGGGTGGTGTGCGGTGATGGTCCGACTGCATCAACGCCAGATTTGCAAGATCCCAACATGTGAGAAGTTGTTGGAAGAAGGTTGAGATGGTGGATGCCGATGCCATCCTTTCTTCTCGCGCAACAGAGCATGCTTGCAGAAAGTACATCAGATCGATCGTCCAAGGATTCCCTACTTTTTCTGCTGAGGCATTCCCGTCAACGTGTTTCCTCCCAGGTTGTCCTCCCAGTCCCGCGCCACCCCTCCGTCAACCAGACGCTGCCCAGCGCCAGGGATCCGTGCGAGGGATGCAGATCCATCCCAATCCGGAGCAGTACGATTTGAGGCCGATGAAATCCAGGGTGTTTCCGGCGATTCCCCCCGGTCAAAACATGGCACGCCGTGGTGGCTTGCTCCTTTGACAGGTCTTTCTAATCTTTCTACTGTTTGTCCTCCCAATCCTAGAGAACGGTTGGCCCAGAGCGGGAGATATCGTGAAAGGGTCTTTAAGTCTCCTCCAGCCATCGGTACAATGCACGTTGTAGTCAATGAGACCTTAGTCACGCTCATGGTGCCCGACACCTGTGGCGCTATGCTGGGTTTTGCTGGGGTGGTAGTAATGAAAAACAACGAAAAACAACTTGTCACCCAAATTCCATGGAATCACTCTGCTTACTACTAGGACCTAGGAGCAAGGACGCTACTAGTAGCTCCCGGCCTCACTAATTACTAGGAGCAAGGACGCGCTGCTTTGGGCGATGCAAATTGCGCCGTTTTGCTTCGACTCTTGCTCCTCCAACCGACTCGACGGACTCCTTCGTCTCGGTGCCAGGAACAGCTCCGATTCGGAGTGGCCTTTGGGATGCCTGGAGCTTGGAGTGCCATGTGAAGGACACATTCATCCACTTGCATCATCTAGAACGAACAGAGGATATCAACGGAGTCATGTGTATAGGATAGGTGATCAAATCCTAAGTGCTGTGTGTATCATCCAATGTCGGCTGGGACTGTTGGGACTGTTGGCAGCCCAATCCAAAACTTCGCACCACCCGCGGATGGCCACTGTGTGACTGGGTGTCACCCAAGGGTGGAAATTCGCAACTGTAGCGTCCACGCTTCCAAGAGTCCAAGATCGCAGGTGGCATGTTCATTGAGTTGGCCTTCTTTGGGGATCAGGGTGGCTATCCAGGCCAAACAGTCGACTTGAGGCCTGCTTGTGGGAACAGGTTGAAGCATTGTACTATATATTAGGGTCTGGGTGGGCCTCTTTAATGTGATGTTCCTGTGTTCTTAGCCTGGGACCCTTGAGACTATTTGTAAAACCTTCAAGACTATTTATACATATTGTTGGAATTCTTGCCTTATCTTGAGCCCATATTGTAACTTTGAGAGGCCTTCAGTCAAATAAGAAGGAAACAATGAAGCACACAAGAATTTTGGAACCGCCGCACAAGCAGCTCAAGCTAATGTAGAAACCATGGCAAAGAGGAGAAGGAAAATAAAGGTCATTCGGAGGATCCGTGTGAAGAAGGCAAAGAAGCTCAAGGACTACCGCCACCTGCCCCCTCCCCCACCACCCCAGACACATCCCCGACCACCGCCACCACCACCACCACCCCCACGACCACCCTTGCCACCTCCACCCCCTCCCCCAGCACCAGTTCACCCACCACAAGCATCAAAAGCACTTCCACCAACCCCACCAAAGCCACCACTGAGACGAAAATCTCAGCCGAGACCCCCGCAGTTCCTACCAAGAACAATTCCAACCCCAGCAGCAGCAGCCACACCAGCAAAGGGACAGTCCAGCCAAAGATGAGCTGGGATGGAGACTCAGTTGAATTGGCAGCCGCATTGGCATGTACTTTTCGACGCCAACCTGGCCCAAGTTTTTTTCTCCAATGCCTTTGGTTGGTATCAGCAGTGTATTCAATTTAGTGATGAGTGATGTTCATGTAACAAGCAACACTCCCAAACTTCAAGAGGGAACATGTGGTTTGTGCTGTTGTTTCCGGGGCTTCTTTTTGACTTCGCCCGTGCTGATCATGGCCTCCAGACCTGATGATGAACAGAGACATGGTTGAATTGAAGTATTTGTTTGTGTGTGTTTGGTCCATACAAGTAGGGGTCAATGTCAATGCCTGTGTTCTGCAAGTACTTTGTTCAAGTTTACAGGTTACGGTTCATGGTTTACAGTTTACTTGTTCCTGCACAATGTAGACCTGTGGGACCCTTGCATTATACCCAACTTGAGTGATGAAATCAACTGGCCAGCTCATTTCTCAAAAATGATGTTTTCCGGTTTGATCTGATCTGATCTCAGGATAGATGATGAACCTCGTCATGGCCCAGTTTCGTTACCAGCATGGTCGACCCTTGCATTTTACCCAGTTTGAGTTTGAGTGATGAAATATATGAAATCAACTGGCCAACCAGCTCATTTGTCAAAAATGATTTTAGCCGGTTTGATCAGATCTGATCTCAGGATAGATGAGGACGATCTTCGTGGCCCAGCACCGACATTCTTGAACTGGGCAAGTCTCTACATCGAAGCCCTTGGAATCAAGTCAGTGAAAGACTTACTGCCTCCAAAGTTGCTTGGCTCACACTCAACCAGAACAGGAAAGAACGGTTCAAAGGTTTAAACCAACCTGCGGAACCTGCGGAAAGTCTAGAGCCCTTGAACAAACTCGAAGAGATTGCCTCTTACTGCCACAGTGCACTAGTAAAGCTACAGTTACAGTAGACTGACTAGACAGGGGAGTTAACACCACCGCCACATGAGGTTGCACCTCGTAGAAGGGTGCGCTGGTGCTGCAACTGGCACCTATGCAATGCTACTTGTCTCATCTTGTCTCCAGATGCAGACGTAGATGAGATGTCTGGATATTTGAGTTTGAGTTCACTTTAGATTCCAAGTGCAACTTCTGCCCCAGCCCTAGCTCATGTTCATGCCAAGGCGTGACATCAGTGGTGAGTTGCCAGTGCAAACAAGAACAACGGCTTTTGAGATTTCTCCGTTCAAGCAAGACTTCATCAAGCGGAACTATCCAATCACCAGCTTCTCAGCTTCTGAATTGGAGCATGAACAAGTGGCTTCCAGGAACAATGGAACAGTTGTGGGACGACTGCCAGTAGACAACAAAAACGGAGAATGAGAGAGACACATGTTTAGGGTTCCTGTTCTGTTCTGCCAGATGAAATTAGTTATAATTGATATTATTTATATCGAATCATAAATCATATATTATAGAATATTAATATTATTAATAATAATATAATATATGATGATAGGTAGCAGTGATGATAGCCTGGATAGCCACCAAACTGTAGACTTGGTAGACAGAAGTCCGGTTTCAGTCAAAGGCACGAACTGCTCATGCTCACCTGTGTGTACTGAGTCAGCCATTTGTATAGCGACCTGGCATGCACCTTGACGGGCTTTGGCTGGTGCCACCTCCATAGCAAGTTCTGCGGCTTTGATCCTTGTGGTTCACGACAGGACTTGTCATAAGTTTTTGCAGTTGTAGTGCGTGGTCCGTGTTCCATGTTGGTTTACGAATTGTTTTATGTTCCATTGCTTTGCTTTATAAGACTTTGAGATTCTGGAGCTCTGAGATGCAGGACTCAGGATTCTCTATGATTCACTACTTTGATCGTTAGATGATATGAATCTTGAATGTTGATTTGATTTCTCCAGGACACACCCTGGATGTTCCTGTGGGGGCCTCCCTGCCCACCGTTCAGCGTGCTCAACAGAAAGAGGAAGTATGGCAACCCGTTTGACTCTCCAGAAGGCTCAGTTTTTCTGGTTGGTGCAAGATACATTCGAAGCTTTGCAGCACACAGGTGCATTCCACAGACTTCATGGATGGACATCAAGTCACACTATAGCCACCACTACACTACACTGTCACCTACTACAAGCTAAACAAGGTAAACAAGAAGAATCGTTGCGACTCAAGGCCACTACTGTATCACTAATCTTTCTGACCCACATGACACCTGCACCTTCCATACTTTTTACTCCGAACTAAGGGCAGACCAAACCTCCCATTGTCATGATGGAGGAGGCTGGGAATGTTTCTTCAAAACAAGTTCGATTTCTGGTAAGAATTTAGAATTCAGAAGTGTGACAATGACTGGTGAGTGAGTGAGTGAGTGAGGCCAAAACTAAGACATTTCCAAAGCTCCAGTCCACAAGTCAATCAGGGTTCAATCAAAGTGAAAGCAAACAAGGTTTGAACTTTGCAGTGTGCAGGTGATGGGAGTGACGCACGATTTCCAGACAGAGGATGGAACTCACGATCCCTTCTTCGACGAGTACGCGGTGCGCTGGGAGACAGTGACATTGGGTGGTTAAGGGTGGTTGGTTTGCTTATACTGTACCTATGCTGACGATCCTGATGCTTGTTTCTATCCACTGAAAGATTGAGACGGGGACAGTGACGGTGACAGTCAGTCCAATAAATACAGGGGATCAATGGAAGGCAACCAGCAGCAAACACACAAAAGGTTCTACAAACAAATATGATGCTGCCAACCTACAGACTTACACATTGAGTAAGGCCAGAATCACAGGACTTACGACTCACGACTCATGTCATTGAACTTTAATTTAGCCCCGGCCTCAACACTGAGACTGAGAGAAAGCTGTTCCCATAGATGGCCGAAGCCTCTAACTAGACTAGACTAGACATATTTTTTTGGTAGACCAGTAGACTGACCTGAGGGATAGTTGCCGCCATGCCATTTGCATCTTTGTGGCGGAATGTGGAGGTTGAGGAGGATCCTACCCCCCAGGAGGAGCTGGCAAGGCTTCGTCGTGTCCAGCGCACTGCGAAAGCAAGGGAAGCTGCTACAAAAGCCAGACTCTCCAAAGCAGGGTCCTTTGAGAAAGGCGGAAATGCTGGTACTTGTACAGGCACCCCACTTGAAACCAGAACATCCATTTTACAAAGGAACTACTTCACCCGCCATCTCTTCAACCCACAGGGCGTGTCAAAGGAACATGACTACAAAAAAATGGGATCTGAACGGGCTCGGTGCACATTTAGCCTGGTGAAGTATATCATAACAATGGTCCAGCAGTTATTCAAGGGATGCGATGGCCAGCCAGTGCAACATGTCATTAGTGTAGTTATTGCTGATGACACAGATACGCGTTTGAAGGGAGCAGGATTGCGGAGCACTATTCACAGTGTTTGCAACACAGTTCAATACGCCCATTTTCGATACAGCCCAGCTGGCAAACAGGAATGTTGGGAAACAGTGAACATTCCTACACCAATGTTGGTTTTGGCGAGTCCCCAAGCTGGGGACATCCACGCAGCCTCTACAGCGATGTCACTGGTATGTGGACATGTAATTGGGGGAATGCTGCAAAAGTTTGGACTTGCAGAGCAAGATGTGGCACCTTTGCATGCTTTCCGAACTGAAGTCGTTGTTGGCGATGCCCTTCAAGCCAACGCAGCATCCTGGAAGATTGAGAGGAGGCTCCTTGGATCTTTGCGGGAGAAAGCTGACCATGAGCGTGTCAGCGCCATCCAAGTCCAATGTTTGGTCCACCAGCTGAACCTGATACGCAAGCCGATGGTCCTGAGCATCTCTGGCTTTTGGGCCACACTGGTCAGAATGGCCCATTGTTTTGAAGCATTCTCATTTCGTCAGAGTTTTGTGGCTTCTCTGGTGCAGGTGCTGCAAAGTGAAGACTTTCAGTGTTCCTAGCCTTGGATAGAAAGCATATCTACTTTTCACGCCAGCCTAGCCTATCCTTTTTTGAATTCACAGATTGACTCTAACAGTGGGGTTCAAACCGGCTCTATCTCTATCTAACTAGTTCACACGCATGTTGCAAATTTCAAGATCATTCCACGGCCCATCTATTGCCAAGGCATTCGAGTGCACGAGCTTCCAGAAGATTTCCCCAAATGGAAGAAGCGGGCAGAATGGATTTCTCGAAACTACCAAGCGCCAGGAAAAGAGGCAGCAGAAGCCGTTAAAAAGATTCTCCAGTTTTTCAATGGAGACACAAGTTGCTCAACAATGGTCCACTGGTGCACGGGCTGCTGTGAGAGTGATGAGCAAGCAAGGAGCAAAGCTTTGAGACTCCTGGCCCCACTCCTGGGGAAAGGTTACCCGATACCTTTCCTATCACGGTTCAAACACTTTGGACCTGCCATCTCATACATCAAGTTCACATGCACCC